AATAGACCTGTACAAGGTCAGATGCCTTGCTCAAAACAGTTGAGTATCATTTCATGTGTAAGAGTTCAGGGTCAAGTGAGTTGGCCTCGGTTTGTCTTTGGGATCTAAATTTCACTAGTTGAATGCCGTAGGGAAGTTGCCTAAACCTATGAAGACTTAGTGTCCTCTTCTCAAAGATGAGAATAAATAATGATGTGGTTGCTGTGAGGATTAAGTGTCATAACCTCTATTAAGTGTCCAGCCTAGTGCCCATTCCATTGGGATTTCTCAAAGAAGGTCACTCCAAGTGTTGTTGCTGTTATTGTTGCTAATCCACCAAATGTTATTTAAAACGTTTTCAAGTTTATTTATTTTGAGAGAGGGAGAGAGAGAAGGTGAGTGAGCGGAGGAGGGGCAGAAAGAGGGAGAGAGAGAATCCCAAGCAAGCTCTGTGCTGTCTCTGCAAAGCCTGATGCAGGGCTTGAACCCATAAACCCATGAGAGCATGACCTGAGCCAAATCAAGAGTCACATGCCTGACCGACTGAGACACCCAGGTTCCCCCACTTAATAATTATTGTTAATAATTATTAAGAGCTGGTGTGCAAAGTCAGGATTCTCTGATTTTCAAGTATATGCTCTTAGCCACATGTCAGAGTGGTGGAGAGTGTGGCCAAATAGTCTGTGGCTTGTGAAATAAGAGGCAGGATCTTTTTCTTCTGCAGTTGAGAAGACGTTATAGTGGGGCTCTGGGTTCTAATTTCACCATGCCTTTGAATGATGGGAGATTATTTAGTCTGTTTTGATGTAAACTCTTCACATTAAGGTAGAGTTAATAGTACCTCTAAGAGTTGTGTAAACTAAAGAAGATATTTTATTTCGTTTTATTTTATTTTTTGTTTTTTTGAAAAATAGTTTATTGTCAAGTTGGTTTCCATATAACACCCAGTGCTTATCCCCACAAGTGCCCTCCTCCATGCCCATCACCTCCCTTCCCCTCCCCCCCACCCCCATCAGCCCTCAGTTTGTTCTTGGCATTCAAGAGTCTCTCATGGTTTGCCTCCCCCTCTCCCCCACTATTTTTCCCCTTCTTCTCCCCCATGGTCCTCCATTAAGTTCCTCCTAATCCTCCTATATGTACAAACATATGGCATCTATCCTTCTCTGCCTGACTTATTTTGCTCAGCATAACACCCTCAAGTTCCATCCATGTTGCTACACATGGTCAGATTTCATTCTTTCTCATTGCCATGTAGTATTTCATTGTATAGATAAACCACATTTTCTTGATCCATTCGTCCATTGATGGACACTTAGGCTCTTTCCATGTCTTGACTATTGTTGAGACAATCAAGAAGATATTTTATATATATATAAAAAAAAACTATCATCAGTATTTTTTATTTTTACCTTATAGGATTTTAATGTAAATTACTTCTTGTCATTTATTATAGATTATAATGCTAAAATAGTTTGTGATCAAACAGTTCTTTTGATGTAAACAAACATAATTTTAATGTTAAAGCCATACACTAAATTCTCTTCCAAGTTTGTATAAATAGGTATATTTAACTTTATCAGAAATTATCATTTAAAATGTACGTACTTGGATTAATTTCTCTATGTGGAATGAGATACGAGATTAAATTATTGATAGTTATTAAAAAAAAAAAGGGTCTAGTGCATGGGTGCCTGGGTGCCTCATTCGATTAAGTGTCCGACTTGTGATTTCAGCTCAGGTCAGTCATGATCTTATGGTTCATGGGATTGAGCCCCAGATTGCGCTCTGTGCTGTGGGTGCAGATCCTGTTTGGGATTCTCTCTGTACCCCCTCTTCAAAATAAATAAATAAACATTAAAAAATAATAAAGGGTCTAGCATAGTCTCTGGCCCAACAGGTGAATAATAGTTGTCATAATAACCAGTAAACTGATTACTTATTACTGAGAATTACAAATAAATAATTATTATAATAGGCCAAGGCTGGTTGTTCATATAAAAGCTAATATTAGGTGACCGTTGGAGTACCTTTGGCCTTCCAGGGAAGGAATTTTGTAATAAGCTTGCTTTTTTCCCCAGAGGTCTAAAATATTGAATAAGCAACAGAGAACATACACCCACAGTTTAGTCTCCCGCAGAGACTCAGTGCCCCAGGCAAACTAATAATATGCCCAGCCTGGACAGAACACAGTGTCAACTAATCTAATACGAGCTGTCAGCCTTGGCCTCATCATTTGATGCTTTTGGCAGACTTGATGAGTCCAAAGGCTTCAGGCTTGGGTGGATTAATCATTTTCATTAGAGGGGACCTGGGTGTTGGGAGTAAGTTCCTTGGATTCAATTAGACTTGGATTGAAGTCATGGCTTTACTACTTGGGAGCAAGTTAGTTAAACTCTGTGCCAAATGGTTTCTCATCTGGACCATTGGAGTAATGATACTCAGGAGTGTGTGTGTGTGTGTGTGTGTGTGTGTGTGTGTGTGTGTGTGTGTTTAAAGTATTAAATGAGATGTAGGTAAACCACTTCACTTGGTTCTTTAAGTCAAGACAGATTCAAGTGACATGAGTTTTATTTTCAGCTCTGTTGGGCTGTGTGGTTTTAGGAAATCACTGAGCTTTTCTGGGTTCCATTGTTTCTCATTCTGGAAAATGGCATGACCTCCTCTTATTAGGTAGAGGTATAATGCAAGGTTAGTATAACACTGGAGTCCACACACTTTTTTTTTTTTTTTTCCAAAAGGCCAGATGGTAATTAATTCAGGCTACCTGGGCCATAGTAGCCTCTGTTGGATATTCTTTGTAGTTTGTTTTTCTACAACTTTTTAAACTTGAAAAAAAATCATTCTTAGCTGGGCCACAGACTATAATTTGAAAAGCCCTACATGGATACTGGGACACCAGAGCTGGAAGGGGTCTTACCCAGTGCCCTCTTCATTGGATGGCAAGAAAATGGAGGTAGCCCCAAATAACCAGTGACATTTATGTTGCTTCATACTTTTTTGGTTAATGTTTATTTTTAAGAGAGAGAGAGAGAGAGAGCGTGAGAGTAAGAGAGAGAGAGAGTAAGTGGGGGAAGAGCAGAGAGAAAGGGAGACACAGAATCTGAAGCAGGCTCTAGGCTCTGAACTATCAGCTCAGAACATGATGTGGGGCTCGAACTCACAAACTGCGAGATCCTGACCTGAGCCGGAGTCGGATGCTTAACCGACTAAGCCACCCAGGTGTCCCAGTTGCTTCATACTTCTTAAAAGGAAGAGTCCTGAACAATTGCAAACTTTTTGTTTTGTTTTGTTTTGTTTTGTTTTACTGTTTATGTCAACATGTTTCAAGTAATATCTGTCTTTATTTCAGAGTTCCATTGTGATTAGTACAAATCATTGACAATGAAAGAAACAGTTTTGGAAATTTTAAGAATGAGAAATCAGATTTTTAGAGACTTAATCCTCTGGAACATATTTCTGAAGAAAATCTCCCTGCTCATAAACACAAGATATATAAAAACATCACTGGTGTGTGCGTGTACGTGTGTGCGCGTGTGCAAGTGTGTGTGTTTTCCTCTGTCTCTCCCTCCTAGTCCCTGGTTTTAAGTTAGTATAGAAAAACTTTATTTTCAGTATTTCATAGGGATTTTGAGGTGAGAGAGGGCTTGCCATTAAGACTTTAAATTTACGTTTATACCTAGGTTTATATTCTTACTTTTTCTTGTTTTATTTATTTAGTTTCAGTACAAGGGGCAGAATTATAACACACAAGGATTCTTCTCTCCTTTCCTTTCAGCTTCCCTTTCTTCCATTTTTTCTTGTATTTTTCTAGAGGCAGAGTCCTGGCATGCAATGTCCCCTTAGGAAGATGTGGGTCTCTTTGATCACCCTTGATTCTGTCAGCACTGGGATTCTTTTGTCCTATTCTAGCTATGCTTTGGGTGCATTTATTTCAAGAAAATGCTTTTCAAGGCTCCTAATTAGTTGCATGGCCAAGGCTAAACATCCTTCTCTTGAGTGGATTGATATCAACCCAGATAGTATTGAAATAGCAGGAAGAAAGACCTGAGAGGATTGTGTGCTTTCTCTTTGGAGATACAAAATCAGTCAACTTTTGGCTGCTCAGATGACCCCTGGATAGCATGTGCACTACATATGGAAGAAACATCACAACTGTTTTAGACAGCCTGATAGAACAGAAAGTATTCCGACCTACAAACCAGGAGACCTGGGTTAGTTGTGACCCTGGGCAAGTCACTGGGTTAATTGTGACAAGTCACTTCAGCCTCTCTGGATCTTTTTTCCATCTGTAAATGTGGGGACTAAAGAAATTAGGAATTATTGTGGTTAGTTAACATAACTGTATGCTAATTATTGTTTTTTAAAAAACAATTGTGGGAGGGGCATCTGGATGGCTCAGTTGGTTAAGCGTCTGACTTTGGCTCAGGTCATGGTCTAATGGTTCATGAGAGAGAGCCCTGCACTGAGCTCTCTGCTGTCAGCACCGAGCCCTCTTTGGATCCTCTGCCCTCCTTTTCTCTGCCTCTCCCCTGCTCTTGTGCGTGTTCTCTCTCTCTCTCTCGCTCTCTCTCAAAATAAATAAATAAACTTTAAAGAAAACAGTTGTGGAGAAATGTGGTGGAATCATTGGGCACATTGGTGTTTTTGGATGAAAGAGAAAGTTTGGAACTTACTAGGGTAGTATAGTTATTTGTATAACTATATACACCTAGCTCATATTTATCGGATATTTACTATATGCCAGTCATTCTGCTAAATGAACATTTTACTTGGAATATCTCAGGATGTCCTAATATCCTCATGTTAAAGAAGAAATAGAAGCTCAAAGAGATTAAGTCGCTTAAACCCAAATATATTTTATTCCAAATCCCACATTATCAACACTTTTGTGCTGCTTAATTTTACTGATGAACTTCCACCTTAATCCTGTGGAAAAACTCTCTCTCCAGTTGTGTATGATTTGGGAAGGGCATATTTGACTAAATAGTTCATGGTTTTTCTTTAACCTTTTTCTTTCTTAGGCCACCTCGAGACTTAGACTCCAAAGCTTGCATTTCTATTGGAAATCAGGTAAGAAAAATCACATTTGCCAGTTAATACCTTGACTGTTTTCCATGTATGCTTTCTGACTGGCCATTGAAAAATATATTTTCCATAACATGCTGTCAGGAGATGGGTCAAAAAGTTTGAGTTTAAGCAGCCGTGGTACGTGGAGAACTTACTATTTTGAATGCTTTAGTGAAATCAGGCTAGTGGGGTCCCGATGGAAGATCCTTGAGGAGAGTACATGATTTGCTTTGGGATGCATTCCTGAGAGTCCAAGGGTAGATCTAGTTGCTGTCAGTCAGCAAACAGGTGAAACATGTGATGAAGGGGGCAAAGCTAAGGAAACACAGTGTAGACAGCTCAAACCGAGCAATTTGGAAGTGGAGCTGGAGCAAGATCTCTGGATTGCCCATGACAAGCAGGCGGCATATTGTGTGAGTCTAAACTTCTCCTGGCACACCTTGCCTTCAGCAGCTGCCCGGATAAGCTTCTAGGCAAGAAGCTTCTGGACAGCAAATAACCCTTAGAATGTTGGGAGGAGCCAGAGAGAGGGAGAAAGAGTCTATGTCCTTTGTTTCTTTGTTTACTGTTGCATCACTACCTCTTCTCTCTTGCAGAACTTTGAGGTGAAGGCGGATGACCTGGAGCCAATAATGGAACTGGGACGAGGTGCGTACGGGGTCGTGGAGAAGATGCGACACGTGCCGAGCGGGCAGATCATGGCGGTAAAGGTAGAGTCCATGCGCCCCAAACGTTTTCCGTCTGTGGTGTATACGTTCGTCCATCTCAGTTGAGAGCCAATTCTTTTCTTAGAAGCAAAACAATCTTCAGTGGGGTAAACCAAAGAAGATTATTTGTTGGGAACACCATTTTCCTCCAAATGTGTGGAAAATTCTTCTTGGTACAAATTGCATCTATTGTTTGTTTTTTTTTTTTAAGTGATAAATCTGACCCCCTCCTTTTAATTTGTTATGTAACCACTACATCACCATCACACTTAAAAGAATTAACAGCACTTCTTTAATGGCATGGAATAACAGCTCTGAATTAAAATTATCTTGATCATCTCAAAGTTGTTTGATGTTTTTGGCTGTTGGTTGTTGAAATTCGAATCCAAATGAAAGTTCAGAAGTTGCATTTGATTGTTAGGTCTCAAATTAGGTTGTTTTAGTCTATATTGTGTTGTTTTTAAAGAATGGGCCCTAAAAATCAGGAAGCCAGCATTGTCTCCATTTGTGAAAAACAGGAGACTAAATTGCATCTTGAGTGAATTTGCATCATTTTTGAGCTGTACAAAGAAACTTAGAATCATTGCCCATTTCTCGAGAGGCTTTGGGGAACTACCCTCTTTCCCTGAGTTCATGGATTTGGACCATTGGTAGGAAAGCGGATGGTTAGATGACTTGGATCTCTTTGTTTTTGGAGAATGGAGATGTCTTTCCCTTACCGTGTAGATTTTTCAATTTGTTCTTTTGCAGACTTTTTTACTTAGGCAAAAAATATGAAATCCTAGTGACATTATATCATATGCTCATTTAGTAACAACATCGTGCTTCTTTAGGGCTACATTTGTTGATGTGACAAATTTCTCTTCTCTCAGAAGCCCTGGTATATGAATGAACATTTTCTCTTTTTCTGTTTGATTCTGTCCATTTCTGTTAGCTCTGTTGGTTCTTTTACAGTTGCTACTGAGTCCAAATATTCTTACTTGTTCCCAAAGAGGGACTTCAGGATATTTTTGTGGGATCCCAAATCAACCCCAAAGTAATGAATACTGTGGTCTCTGTACTGAACATACATAATATAATAAAGCAGACTGTTCTTATGACTTGGAAATACAGTCCCCAACTTTTTCATGTTTTCCAAAATATATTATCAGTGTGCTTGGGAGTTTTCAGGAAATCCAACGAAAGTCTTCTGGAGTTCTCATTTGTTACAAATAGCTAATCACTAGGATAAATACTTGAGAAGTCATTGCTAGAACCTGTGCTGTGAATTTTGTAGTATTTTCAGGATGGGACTCCTTAAGGTCCCTGCCTTATTAACTGATTCACCCTCAGAGCAGTAACCGTAAATTTTTCCACGAATTTCCATTCAGCGGATCCGGGCCACAGTAAATAGCCAGGAGCAGAAAAGGCTACTGATGGATTTGGATATTTCCATGAGGACAGTGGACTGTCCGTTTACCGTCACCTTTTATGGCGCACTCTTCCGGGAGGTAGGTGATTCTTCAATTCAAAATCTGAGGAGAACAATAACTTAAAAAGAAGTTTCTGTAATTACATCAACATGATGTAGGTCTTGGTACTCCTTCTTGTTTGACACATTTTTTTAAAAGTTTATTTATTTATTTATTTATTCATTTATTTATTTATTTAGAGAGCCTGTACATGTGAGCATGGGAGGGGCAGAGAGAGAGAGAGAGAGAGAGAAGGAGAGAGAGAATCCCAAGCAGACTCCTTGCTGTCAGTGAGAGCCCCACGCAGGCTCAATCTCACAAGCCATGAGATCATGACCTGAGCTGAAATCAAGAGTCTGAGCTTAACCAACTGAGCCACCCAGGCACTCCTGACACATCTTCTATAGAGAGTTTTATACTTGTGCAAAAGCATAAAAGTATAAAGCTGGCTTGAAATGATAGTGTTTTTAAATGTGTTTAGCCCTTTTAAAGCTACTCAGGCTCCTTTCTCCTTTCTGTTTTGGTTTATTTTGGCAGAGCGGTCTATATCAATTGTCTATAGACTAATTTAGATAGATCTCTTAAAATCTGATATAGACTAGTCTTTTGGCCAGTGGATAAGCTTTATTTAGCCTGCATATGTACCCTCGAGGCTTAAGTTTATCTTTTTGCTTTACCTTTGCTTTTATTTTACCATGATATGGAGTATAATGCTTCAACTCACTCTGACGACCAGCTTTTCGATTAACTGTCACCAGTGCTTCATGTGGGAGATCAGACATGGAACCTAACTTCCTACAGGGCATTAACAATAAAGGCTTGGATTTCTGGGAATCTACTGTTTGTGGCTATTGGTATTGATGTATTTGTTTATTTAAAAAGCTTTTTAAAAATCCAAGCTGACACACTATGTCACATTAGTTTCGGGTGTACAACAGAGTGAGTTAACCTCTCTGCACATGATGCTGTGCTCTCCATAAGTGAAGCTACCGTCTGTCACCATACAATACTATTATAATATCATTGGCCATATTCCCTGTACTGTGACTTTTATTCTCGTAAACTTTTCCTTCCATAACTGGTGTGGCTATTGGTATTTAGATCCTAGTCTTTATCAAGGAGTAGGTGATCATATGCAAGTTCTGCTTGGCTATCTGCTAGTCGGCTCTTTGGAAGCAAACTTGCTTATTTGTAAGTTCCTTTGAGATCTGGAAGGGACACTGGACATTTCCTCCAAAAACTCAAGTGAAAAAAGAGCTCTTCCTGACAGGTGTTAACTGTTTCCTTTTTTCCTTTTCTCTCCTTTCTACTCATCTCTGAACCAATTGGTCTCCAGGGTGATGTTTGGATCTGCATGGAGCTCATGGATACGTCACTAGATAAATTCTACAAGCAAGTGATTGACAAAGGCCAAACAATTCCAGAGGACATCTTAGGGAAAATAGCAGTTTCTGTGAGTACATCATGAGCCCTACTTACAAGGAGAATGTGGGAGGTCTAGACCTTAGGTGTCTCTGATTCCCTAGTCTGAGGGAACACTCGCTGGATTAGAGCTTCCCCAAAGTACATGTCTGTTGAATGCATGAGCGCATCTATGGATGAGTAAATGAATGCTTTTCTTTCTGGGCACTGTGTAGAAGATTCTACCACTGACTTGGTTTGGTAAACTCTCAGTTAAAATGTCTCTAGCAGCGCATTCATCTGCTATGACCACGTTCCTGGTGTCTCTATTCCGATACTACTTCACTTTGATTTTCACTTGTAGATTTTTAAATGTTTTCTTAAGGCTAAGAGGGCATAGAAGGAAGTAGAAGAAAATGAAATGGAAAAAAAAGGTTGCTCTCTTAATGGCTATTGAAGTTCATGAGGGTGGAGAGAAAAAAAAATATTGGAGACCGAATGAAATACCAGTTAGATGAGTGAGACACTGTAAGATCCGGTCCTCTCTGATGGGTGGAGTTCAATTAGTGTAGCTTCCTCTGTATTTCCTGGATAGGGCCACCACTATTTGAGAAAATACCTCACCTTATGACGTTAAGCCAGGGATAATAAACCTGGGTATACTTAACATTCAATTTCTTTCCGGTCATGGAGAAAACTCGATCTTGTGTTTCTCTTGCAGATTGTAAAAGCGTTAGAACATTTACACAGTAAGCTCTCTGTCATTCATCGAGGTAAGCATCCATGGAGTTGCTTTAGCTGTTCCTTTTATAAAATCTATTTCTTTTACCCAGATGTTTCTTCCCCCAGTGGATGGAAGTGGAATTGAGTTAGGCAAGAGAACTGAGGGGTTTTCCTTCCCAGACCAGTAGCAAATCATATTAAGTAGCTGCTTTTTATCTTGTCTGAGGACATAAGAAGACATGGGCTTTTTATTATGCCTAAATTGAATATAAACCACCTGCTACCAGGCACAGCTCTGGGATTACCCCACCGAGAATTTTAGAGAAAAGGATAAAAATGCATCTAGTATTGATGGTCACCTGGGAGCTTGTTAGAAAAGCAGAATCATGGGTCTCAAGACCACCTGAATCTCCATTTTAAACAAGATCCCCAGGTAATTTTTGTATACCTTAAAGCATGAAGAGTTCTGGTATAAAGCATAGCTTTTTCAGACAATAGGAGGCAGGATAAAGTGAAAACATTGGTAGATTTGTCTCTTCTTTCTCTACCTCCTCTTCTTTCCTTCTGATTGATTGGCCTGTCGTCTTTTCATCCATCCATCCATCCACCCACCCATATATTCATTCTTCCCTCTTTCATCCATCCATCCACCCATATATCCATTCTTCCCTCTTTCATCCATCCATCCCCCCATATATCCAATCTTTCATCTTTCCAATTATCACTTATAACCACTTTTCTACCATTTATGCAGCACTATAATAGATACCTTGAGGGGTATCTGAGAACAAAACATAATCTTATTAAAATTCCATAAAGGGATTCTTGATGGGGAAATAAGACAAATACATAGAAATACATGGAAAAAAATAAACCACATTACAAATATGAAAGTACCAAATATGGAAGCAGTCTAGGTAGAATATAAAGCAAGGAAGCGATTAGCACCGGGTGACTATAGTCAAAGAAAGCTTCTTTGTGGGGCGCCTGGGTGGCTCAGTCGGTTAAGCGTCCAACTTCGGCTCAGGTCATGATCTCACGGTTTGTGAGTTTGAGCCCCGCATCGGGTTCTGTGCTGACAGCTCAGAGCCTGGAGCCTGTTTCAGATTCTGTGTCTCCCTCGCTCTCTGACCCTCCCCTACTCATGCTGTCTGTCTCTCTCTCTCAGAAATAAATTAAAAAAAAAGAAAGCTTCTTTGAAGATGGATTCAACCAAGTCTGAGGAAAAATTAATGGAAAGTGTCTATAGCTAGTAGGGTAGTGAGATTTGGTGATTCTTACGCTTTCTGAGTCTGAAAGTGATGCAAAATGCCTTGGAGAGAGTGCCTGTTCTTGCTGTTATTATTATCATTAATTGTTATTTTTAGAAATTGGAAAAAATAGGAAGGAAGAAGAGGAGGAGAAGAAAGTGGGAAAGAATCCAGATGGGGAAAAGAATGTGGATTACCCACCAACATGAAACTTAATTTTAAAGGATTTATTTCAAAATTAGGAAGTGTTTTATTTGTATTAAAAATGTATAAGTAAAGTATAAAGAAAATAAATGTGCACGTCCCCCATTCAGCTTAAGAGAAAACATTATAAAGGATAATTTTTAATGTTTTTAGAATAACTCTGCTGAAAAGCATCATAAAGGAAAAAAGTTAGTTGTGGTTTCTAAGCCCATTGTCTAGAGATAACGGTAATCTATATGGGAGTGTGATTTTGTGGTCTGGAACTTCTGGATTTATGGTGAGTTACACTATGTGACCTCTGACACGCCCCTTGCAGACGCTTGCATCAAAGCTGGTTTCTTTGATCAGATCTGATATATCATTTTATCGAAGTCTGCCTTTTCATTCCATGGTCTGTTTATTCCTACTCTTAATGTGTAGGTCATGATGAGCTGGGCTTTAAAAAAAAATTCTTCTGTCGTCATAAGAACACTTAACATGAGATCTACACTCATGGCAAGTTTTAAGTGTGCAATACAGTAGTGTTCATTAGAGGGTCAATGTAGTACAACAGATTTCTAGAACTTACTCATTTTGCATAATAGAGACGATGCCCAAGGAACTGGGCATTTGATTCATTAATAGCTTTTTAAGTTTTTACTAAGCGTAGGGGGCGGTAGATAGAGGAAACAGTCCTTTCCATCTATGGATTCGCAATCCTACGAGAAGGACAAAACATGAAATAGAAAATCAAGTTGAAAGCAGGAAGATGTACCAAGTGTGAGTCAGGGATAGTTGTGAACTTTTGTGTTGGGCCTCAGGGGAAAGGGAAGGTGAGGGGAAATGGAGATTTCAGGCCCCCTGGTGGTAGACACCTGAGTCTTCAAAACAGGCTGGGATCATGGGCTCTTGGTTCTTGCTTTTAGACGTCAAGCCTTCCAACGTGCTGATCAACACTCTGGGCCAAGTCAAGATGTGCGATTTTGGAATCAGTGGCTACCTTGTAGACTCTGTCGCTAAAACTATTGATGCAGGATGCAAACCGTACATGGCCGTAAGTATGCCAGCTGCGGGGTGGGGGGTGGGGTGGGGAAGGGGATGTGCAATCCGGGAGTGCAGGCGCCAGCACACCGTGCCAGAAAATAGGAATGGACAGTGACAGAGGGAAAATGGAAATGTGCTTACAGTGCAAGAAATAGTCTGCATCTTACTTTTGTCTTAAGTATCTTCTGTCTGAAATCCTTAGTTATGATTTTTTTTTTTAATAAAAAGCAAGTAAAAGAGGTATATTACTTGGGGGAAAAAACACGTAAGTAATCCATACAGCCCCCACACATTTTTCACACTGTGTTGTAGGGGAGTGTTATCTTGTTTGTTGGGGCCAGAAGAGTAAAAAGAATTTAACTAACTCCAAAAAGACAAGAAGGTTAGTCCTGAGAGAAGCTCATGGCTGTGAAGACTCATTGCCGTTGGCAGAGACCTTGCGACCCCCTTTAACGTGAAGAGGCTTCTGTGTTCTATTTGGAAATAGATTTGCACTTGAGATTGAAAACCTTCCCATCCGTGTTGAGCTAATCTCAGGGAGTCAGTCACCCAGTGACGCTTGTGGATTCTTATTATTGCTCCTGGGCTGTTGATGTTTTTATCAAGGAAACTTCTAGATGGGGAGAGTAGCTTTATAATGAATATCCTATTTCTTCTTGGGGCAAAATTGAAATTAATTTTGAATTTTGAGGGACTTGAATCCATTATTGTAGAGACTCTTGCAGAAGGAGGAAAATCCCATGGAGGTGTCAATATTTTTTGTAGTAGTGAGTCTTCTCCGCCTGGGAGGCATGTGAACACACTTAAAACGACTCACTTGGCAGCTGGGGACACGCCCACCTCCCCAGAGACTTTGTGGAGCTAAGAATGTCATCTCATTTGTCTTTCCCTGTCTCCTTTCCAGCCCGAAAGAATAAACCCAGAGCTCAATCAGAAGGGATATAGTGTGAAGTCTGACATTTGGAGTCTGGGAATCACAATGGTAATGTACAATGATCACGCTGGACTGTGAGGTTCTGGGCATGAAGCTGAAGTGGGTGGGTTTTGAGACCAAAAGGCAAATGCCCTCACTGTGGGTCCTGAGCATCCTTTCTGCCTGAGATAGCAGGAGGATCTGAGTGATGATTGTCTGCAGTGTGGTGTCATAGAAATACTGCCCTGGAATTGAGCAAAGCCAGTCTTTATTCCACCTCTAACAGTCAGATGCCCTTGAGTAACCAGTAGAGTCACATGGACTGTATTATCCTCATCTGTAAAATGAACCCTGACTACAGCTCCTCATAGTTTTCCTAATAGTTAAAAATTAAATTATTTGGGGCACCTGGGCAGCTCAGTCAGTTAAGCATCCGACTCTTGATTTCTGCTCAGGTCCTGATCTTGTGGTTTGCGAGTTCGAGCCCCACGTCGAGCTCCGTGCTGACAGTGCAGAGCCTGCTTTGGAGTCCCTCTCTTTCTCGCTCTCTGCCCCTCCCCTCCTTGCACTCCCTCTCTCCCCAGAATCAATAAATGAACATTAAAAAATACATTGAAAATTAAATTATTTTAATCTAGGCTCAAGCATCTCAACGAGGGCTAACGTGTGTGGAGCCTGACGGAGCTGTGTTCCCCAGGACATAGGCTGTGCTTTATGATTATGATAGACGTCTTGGCCAGTGGGGTCATATATAGCCAAAGGGCATAGTAACACACAGGCCAATCTCCTTAGGCGCAGTCCTGAAGTTATGCAAGTAGTGATTTATTTGTAACACTGGGGATCATCAATTTTCAGTGTATCACCAAGGTCTGGAATTATCCACCGTGGTCCTGGCTCCTTTCCAGGCACAGCAGCTGATTAAATCCTGTGAGTTATTTCACATCCCTGCCCAGAAGACACGTGATGGTCTTGTCATGGCAAAGTGGCCTTACTCAAATCCAAAAAAAGATCCGTCATTTGGTGCTAGGGTTGTTGTTTTTTTTTTTCTTTTTTTCATTCCAACAAGTGGCCTGTAGATGGCAGCAGGTGTACACTCTGTGAAAGTCTCAGGGTGAGCCTTCCTTTTCAGAGCAAACATTGGAAACCCTGGTGGCTTTACATCCCAGACTTTAATACTGCTGGCTTGCAATTTTATTAAGTGTCACGATGGCTTTTGGGAAGGAGCACCTGGTTATAAATAGGCTTAATCGGCTGCCTCTAGTAAGATCATGTTTGAGGAACTGGGGGAAAGTAGGGAACATACTGTGAGGTTATTTCTCCCCAAATTTTACTTGAACTTCACCTTTGTAGTTCCCGCTGACTCTTCTGGATCAGAACACCCAGATTCCCTAAAGCTGCTCTGTGTAAGCTGTTGACCCCTTGTCTTTCTCTCCCTTCTAGATTGAGTTGGCGATCCTTCGGTTTCCCTATGACTCTTGGGGGACTCCCTTCCAACAGCTCAAACAGGTGGTAGAGGAGCCCTCCCCACAACTCCCAGGAGACAAGTTCACTGAAGAGTTTGTTGACTTTACCTCACAGTGGTAAGACAGCGCCATCTGCCAAACGCCAGTGTTAAGGAAGAAGAGGACTTCTCATGAACTTCCTCCATCGGTTTTAATCCATTATGCATGCATTCATTCCAAAAGCATTTATGGAGTGTGCCCTTGATGCTGGAGAAACAAAGATAGGCTTTGTCTCAGTCCCTGCCCTCGCTGAGCTCAGAGTCGAGTAGGGGGGGTCTCATGGGTCAGTGATTGTGGTACAATGTGGTACAATATGGAAAGTCCAGGGATGGAGATCTGTGTAGGATATTTGGGGAGCTCAGAGGAAAGGCATTAGGATGGAGTTTCTGGAAGAGATAGATTCTGAGCTGACGACCATGTGAGGGATTGTCCAAGGCGTAAAGGAAGTAGGGAAGGGAAAGGTATTCCCAGCAGAAAAAAAAAAAATCTCCTTTATGAGAGCAGTAAGCTATTTGATGTTGATTAGAGCATCAAGAGAACAGTGATCAGACCATTGGAGGATTAGAGCTGGAGAGTAGATAAGATGCAAAGAATTATCTCAAATTAGAAATTCCGAGGAGTTTTTGAGAGTGTGACTTAGATACCTACACGTCTTATAGAGTAGTTCTAGTATATTTTAGGCTGCCTCCGACACAACACTTGTTAACTGGGAATATACTTGCCTGTGAGGGTACAGTGGACACTACTGGGGGGTCTGAGGAGGGAATCCAATCCAGGTTGGAGGGGGAAGGTGGAAGGAGTCGTGCTAATTATGTAAATTTTATTTTCCTGGAAATTGTCAGTGGGATCGTGGCAAGTAGGAGAGGGCATGGCTTCTCCCCTCTGCCTGGTGACCAGACTGCCTGGTATAAGCTCATACTAAGGACAATGTCAAGTGTGCCTGGAAGAGGAGGAAAGGAAAGCACAAAATGCAGCTCGGTGATGTGGGCATCCTGTGGAAGCAGACAGTGACTAGCCCAGCTGTGACCCTGGGAGAGGAGTGATCTTGATCGCCCCCTGCTGAGGAAGGAGCTGGGCCTCTGAAGGCTGTTTGACAGCACAGCTCCTCCAGGTTATCGTTCCTTGGCTTCCACACTCTTTGGAAGAAGTATTCTGAATGCAGCCTTTATTGGGAAACATGATGAGACAAAGCAACTGTCTGTTGTTTTTGACACTAAGATCTCTTGGACTTGCAGTTAGCCCTGGTCTCTGTGTCATCCCTGGTATTTTGCCCTGATGATGTATGAGGCTGGCCCACCGTTGCTCATTTTTGTTTGAGTTTTGGCTGAATGGCTAGAGAGTGGCTGGGGCAGTGGGCACGGTGTGTTGTTAGATGCCTCTTACTGGCACTTCCTCTGGGCTACTGAGGTGTGTCCTCGTCTATGCTTTCCTTGAGCGAATGGGCTGGATGTGGTGGCACACTGGCCAGGCTGAGATGGGCTCATGGTTTTGCCTTCTGGATTCAAGCACTTGTTTTTGTTATTGTTGTTGGTTTTTCTTTGTCCTTATGCCCAAACGTTTAAAGGTCACCTAGAAAAAGGGGTGAGTCATCTTGAATAGTTCCGACCAGTAGTTCTCAAGAGGAGCGGTAAAAGGGAAGGATCTTACCTAGGGAGGTCTTTTCAAACTATCCACGCTGTAACCTTTAGGCTGTCTGTCCCCCTTTCCCCAGGATTCTGGGTACTTTGGAAAACGCGGTGAGAATAAGGCTGAGGTGGAAAGTTTAAGGAAGCTGAGCTGCCTTTGGAGAATCTCCGGTTTAATGCAGTAGTTGTTAACCCTGGCTGTTCATTTATAAGACTCGAGAGAACTTTCAAATGTACTGATTGTCACTTAGGCCATACCCGCAGCCATTCTGATTTCATTGGTCAGGGTAAGGTTTTGAATCTCAGCATTTTTCAAATGTTCTCAAATCTTTCTACTATACAGCTGGGATGAGAACCCCTAATTTTGACCTATGGTCCGTGGACCTGATATCAACTGCTTCCTTTTCAGGAACTGTTTTTCTTCTATAATTTATTTTTAAAAATCATTCAATTGCTTTCTCTTTCACCAGAGTATGTTTTTCCTCTGATGTAGAATTTCCCCCTGAAGATTCAGAGCATTAAAGCTTTTTAAACGGATATTTAAAAAAATGAGAACGTTGAGAAATAATGCTTCCTAATTTTAACGTGTGCACACACCTACGGGAACGATGCAGATACTTTATTATCGCACTATTGCACTTTGTAGGAGGACCTCCCCATGCCTACCCCCCGCCCCTAAAAACACTGGCAATATCTTCCAGCTGCCTTCTGAGGCTTCCATTCCCTTCTGGTTTTCTGTCAATTTTAGTCCCAGCTACCACAGTTCATTAATTTAAAAACTTTGAGCCATAGACATTTTCTCGGTTTCCTGGAACCATTAGTTCTGTTAATGCTGTTAGCCGTCTGGCTTGTTTATGGGACTTATTAACATACACACACACACACACACACACACACACATGCATGTATATAATATACTATTTATATACATATATATGTAACACATGTAATATACTATATATGTATGTAATACACTATACATATATTTGTATGTATGTAATACATTATATATACATATATGTATATATGTAATACACCATATATACGTATATATGTATGCAATATACTATATGTACACATATATATGTATATGTAATAGAAACAAAACTCACTTGAACTTTGAAGTTTTCAAAGAATAAATTCTTCCCAACCTTCAGTGTCATAGTCCCTGTAGAATCTGATGTTTGAGAATATCGGTTGTGTAAAGTAGTGAGTCGTTTTTGTTGGTCGGAGCATTGGAAAGAAGAAGAGGAGCCTTACTTCTGCATTTTATGAACATTCTTAATGAGCCTCACTTGGATTTTCTTTAAGACTACAGGCCCTCCTATTTCAGATGCCAGCTCAGTAGTTTTGTGCCTACCGTAAATTACCAATACATTTTCTTTGATACCCCTTCAGTATGAACATTGTTTTGAAGCCAACCAAGGTGGAAAAGTTGTCTAATGTTTTGAGAGATGGTGCTGATTTTTTCAAAAAGTTTTATGAATGGCTTAGATCTTCCCGGAAGCCATTTCATTTTCCTACATGTTAGCTTACAGAGACACACCTGCCCCCCGCAGCAAACTAGTTATTTCACTTGTTTTACCACTGATAGTTTTAAGTTTGATCTGGGGATGAGTAGAAAGAATATAGAGGTGATTTACGAACACCTCCTTTCAATGAAGAAAGGGATACAGCCTGAATGTACCTCCCTTTTATAGCTGTTTCTCTACTTGCCTATCTACACAGCCGTTTTTGAGATACCTCTTTATGAAAGGATCCTTTTTGGAATGACCTCCATGTGTGTTTTTGTATTTTAATGACATAGTCCGGCTATGATCCTTCACGACTTCTCGGAAAGCCCCAACTTTTGTGGCAAGTGGGGGAAGGGGCGTACAGATTCGGAAAAAAATGGATCCCGAATTTTGAGATAGATACATCTGCGATTTTATCTCCTACCTCTCTCTTTGGACTAAATGCTAAATTAGAAGAGAAAGGCTGCAATATTCATGGTTTGGGTCATCTGTCAGACTATTTGTGACCTTTCCTGGGATGCGTCCTGACAGCATTTGATGACATCCCAGTGCTGCTCCACACGGTTCAGTGTCATCCAGGTAGTCACCTCGGCTGTCCCCTCCTCTGACCACTGCTTGTGAGTGTACAGTGATCCTGGACTGTGGGTGGAACAGAAAGCAGTACCAGGCTATCCCTGTCATACCCAGAGTTACATTTAGAGCCCGGAGCCTCAGGGGATGTGTTTCTTTTGCAGTAGCCTCAGAGAAACATTATCTTCAGGGGTGGGGCCAGAAGGGGAAGAGAGGAGAGAAATTTAAAGCATTTATTCTTTAAGGACGTTAAGGAGAAACCAGTGGTGTCTTACACACCTGTCCTTTCTGTACTTCATTTGAAATAGGACTACTGAATGACATTTCCTCCTCTATTTTTTCCCCTACACATGGCTTTCTTATCATAGGGTTTTTAAAGCTTTCCCAGAGTAGGTGATGCTGACCCTAACGGCCTTGTTTGGGGATTCATAACAGACAAGTCCAGTAGAAAAGCTTTACAGCCTAGTCCCACAAAGGGTTAACAAATGAATATCCAGAAAGGAAAAATGGAATCGTAGCAGGCTTATGCTTTTCTCTATAGCCTCTTCCTATAGAGTCACAGGCTTGGTGCCTGAAGGAAGTCTCTGGAAACCAACTACTGAGTGTCCAAACAGCTTGACTTCCTTTTCACTTCTCCTTCAGGCTATTTAAGAGGCTCAGTGCCCAGCTGACCAGCCTGATGGCATGTTGGAGGAGACCCACCCAGACATTGATACTGTCTGACTCAGAGGAACTAGCATAAAACAGACAATCAAATATAGTTCCCGCCTTGTTCAGGAAGAAGAGTAAAAAGAGGCACTGGATATTTATTTAGCCGATGACAAATGTATGGGCTTAGGAGACACAGCATGTTTTCTTCTGTGGATGTACCGAATAGGCCTTCTTGGAAACCGTCAGGGGGAATTCAAACAGGCAGAAATCCTCTGGTCAGCACAAACTCCAAGCTAGCAATTCTCAAGACAGCATGAAGCTGTTTTTTAGTGTCAGCTACGGTCAGGAGCGTGTGTTGTGGCATTTGGAAGAGGAATTAGAGCAGTTAGCTAATTGCACGCTTGAAAATGACAAGCCACTTGAAAATTCAAAAGTCTGACTCCAATCCAAAAAGAAATTGGTGTAGCTTTGAACTCCACAGTTGTTATTTTATACTGCATTTCAAGCACTTCCTATCAAACATGGAAAATTTGCTTGCCCTCCCCCCAACCTGATCCTGAGTATTTTGCTATTCTTAGCGCATGTTTTCAAGTGCTCTCAATTTAAAAGATGGAGAGAATTGAGTTTTATCAGTTATATTAATTCAATCAACAGCCTTGGATTGCTGTGTAAGTATTTTCCGTGAACGTTCCCCAGCAGTGCTATTATGGGAAATAATGAGCCTTTTAATCAGAGGCCTTAAGTCAAGAAATAGCCTATTGGCCCACAATCCCTGAGGTTTTAGAAATCCTAAACACTTTACGATGTATCAGCTTGGGGTACGTTCCCCACATTTTTCCCCACAGAAAAATCCAGAGAACTTTTCTTAAACTATTCCAGAAGTGAAAAGATAAGCTATTCTTACTTAAAATGATCTCTCCTTGGGGGAACCTGGGTGGCTCAGCTGGTTGAGCTTCTGACTTTGGCTCAGGTCGTGATCTCCAGGTTCATAAGTTCAAGGCCCCCATTGGGCTCGATGCTGTCAGTGTAGAGCCTGCTTTGGATCCCTCTGTCTGCCCCTCCTCTGTCCATTCCCTGCGCATGTTCTCTGTCTCTCAAAAATTAAAAAAAAAAAAAAAAAAAAAGATTTCTCCTTTAAAAAAAAAAGGAAGTGTTTATATTCCTCTACCTGATGAGAAGTGAGTCTTACTTCATTTTCTGCCAGATAGAAGTTCAAAAATCAGTGACGTTGCGAAGACCTCTGGTCGGTAGAAGAGGCCATTGTTCTAACATCTGAGGAACAAGCTCCTTTTTCTGTGAATCCTTCGGTTCGATTGCTGACCAGTGAAAGCTAATGATGTAAAGGTGGCTCGTGACCCTCAGGGAGGATGTTAACAGAGTCCTTGTCATGGCTGACTAATGTTCCCATCTAAGTAGAGACCCCTGAAATCAAGCTTGTGAATAGGGAGTGTGGATTTAATGCTTTGTCTCTGCTTTTCATCATTGCTTTTTGTTAGTTACATTGTTCAGACTATGGAGAAGACTTTCTGGTTTTTGATTGGCTTTGAACAGTAGCTGAAAATCCAAGCCTTCTGTGCATTAGCCCTTTTGTTTTTTCACTACAGTCTGTGCAAGTCAGCCACGCTCCTGGGATCGCATTCCTTCTTCTGTGTTTCCGTCTAGGTGAAGTCGCTCTTGAACTTAGAAAGAAAACTTCTGCTTCTGAGGTTCAGAGATAGAGAGGTGGCAGTGTTGAGAATGTGTGCAAAGGACAGACGGGCCAGCTGGGGGTACTTGTAAGCAAACTTCATTTCTGAGCAGGAAAGAGAAGGCGACAAGAGGAATAGCCTAGGACACGTACCCCAACGGTGTGCAACCTCAGCACTAATGACTTTTTGGACTGAACCAGTCTTTGTTGTGGGATAATAGGATATTTAGCAATATCCTGGGCCATATCTATTATCTACCCAGTAGATGCCAGTTGTATCAACCAAAAAGTGCCTCCAGATGTTGCCAAATATCCCCTGGAGGGCAAAATCACCTGCATTTGAGAACAACCAGTAAAGCACTGTAGAACCTCAAGATATAGATACATAAGTATCTTTATAGATACATAAAGATATGCAAGTATCTGTATAGATACATAAGGATATGTAAGTATCTGTATGGATGCATAAGGATAGTAAGTATCTATGTGGATACCTAAGGATATAGATACAAAGTCCTAAGTGGGACTTCCAAGGTCTCATTCATTTCACTCAGGCACACCTTCTCATATCAACCTGACTTTGACAGTTAATAATTCCTCTTTCTAATCCGCTCTTATTTTTATCCTCAGTTGAGATGAAACTTTCTCTCATAGGTTGTCTGGTCACTGAGGTCACTAGGTCCTAGATCTGTCCTCAGTTCCAGGTTGAAACTTCCCTGCTCACATCTACTGTACCCTGTCTCAGGTTTCCTGGCTTCTACCCACAGCATTGCCTGGAATAAACTGGTAGGCTGTTTTAAGTTGTTTTGGTTCAAAAGCTTTCTCTCTCTCTCTCTTCTTTTTTTCCATTTCATTTCGATTTACACCGCAGTTTCTCAAAGTGTCTCAGTGACTTCACTCTCTTAGGGCTCTGTCCCTTCACCCCCCACCTCCTCATCATTATTAGCCTTTGGGGGTGGAGCTGAGCTCATGTCACACATACGAGGTCTCCTCTGCTCAAAATGACCCATTAGCACAAATCCCAGCTACCTAATGGTCAGTCACATGTTGGTTACTTCGATCCCAGACCGTTTCCTTCCCATTTGTGTATGATTTTGGGGCCCCCGTGGGCAGAGGAGTCTGTAGGTTGCCTTGCAAACCACAGTTTCCAGAACCCTCCTTGTCTTCATTCTGTAACCTGGGATTCCAACTCCAAAATAAACTGCTTATTTTCTTTTTTTCCATTTTAAGGCCATGGGTGGATACAGGGGTGGGTGAAGGACAGAGGTGAGGGCTGGTCTCTTCTTCCCGCAGGAAGAAGTTCCTGCTGTTTTTACTGTTGCCTCCAGTGTCAAATGTCATTAAAACGTTTGTGTATATATGCAGTTGTGTATACAGAAGGGGAGCCGCTGGACAGTAGTAGGACGGGGCCACAGAGAACTTCTGAGGAGAAAACCTGCGAAGTCACTGACTGAGGGTGGCTTTCTCTTTCCTTAGCCGGGAGGTTGTAGACAAGTAGCTTTACTTTAGGCATTTTAGGGGGGTATGGTTTCTACCGTTAGGTGGGTTCGGTTAGGAATGTATAAAAACGAATGACACATTCAAGGGAACAAATGATACACTAAGCCAGGAGAACGGGGCATTGAAGAGAGTGAAGAGTTAACAGATATAATGAGAGAAATACCTGCCAATTTCTTTGCCAGGGGGATGGGTGTAGTAAAAGCTCTCTTGAAGGAAAGTACATACGTAATTTGGAATCTAATGGCTGTAGATCAGAAAAGCTAGTTTGTATGTTGTTGGTAAAACATCAAAAAGATACTTTTTAACAAGTACCAGAAGGACACACACACACACACACACACACACACACACACGCACACCCCTATTCTTCCTGTTAAGTATACCTAGAGTGATTTAAACCCTAATTTTAAAGGTGTAATAGAAGGGGAAAGTGAAAACAGGAGATTTATGTGTTCAATACATTTTAAAGCTGGTTATGTTTAGTGTTCTGCCGCTTCTGAAATCCTAGGCTGGTGAAAATACAGATGGGTCCAGATTTTAATGTGATTCATTTTTTTTTCTTTAAGCTTGAAGAAGAATTCCAAAGAACGGCCAACATATCCAGAACTTATGGTACGTGTTGTTCCCAGTGTAAACCTGTCCTGACCAACCGCTAGTAAAGGTAGAGTGACTAAGACCTAAATTTTAATAAAAAACCCATCATGGAAGAGCTGGTTCATTGACACGTTAGTACCTGGAAGTGAATTCATGAAAATAAGAGTTGAGTCCTTCGTGCATCCTAAATCCTTCCTTAGTATGACCTGGGGCGAGGCACCTTTCTTAGTAATTTTTTCATCGTTGGTTAGCTGGTTATCATATACACTAGATGCCTATAAAATTTGTATTTTCAAGTTCTTAAGATCTCAAGATCCACCAGTTAGTAATATAAATGAAGGAAAGCATGATTTAAAGGATTTATGTAATGAGGGAAAAAGTGCCAGACAACTCACCAATTGTTGATTTAAAAAATTAGATCACGATCTCACGGTTCATGGGTTCAAGCCCTGTGTCGGACTCTGTGCTGACAGCTCAGAGCCTGAAGCCTGCTTCAGATTCTGTGTCTACCTCTCTCTGCCTCTCCCCACTTGTGCTCTGTCTCTCTCACAAAAATAAATAAACATTAAAAAAATAAAAGAACACATGATACACACACATACACATGCAATGGAATATTATTGAGCCTTAAAAAATGAAATCCTGCCATTTGCAACAACATGGATGAAATGTGTACAGCATGGTTGACAGTTAATAGCATAGTTAATAATATTGTGTTGCACACTCGAAAGTTTCTAGGAGAATAGACCTTAAAGGTTCTCATCACAAAACAAGAATGGTAACTGTGTGAGGCGATGGATGTGTACCATCACCTTAGCGTGGTAATCATTTCATAATATATAAGTGTATCAAATCACCACATCGTACACTTAAGCTTACACAATGTTATAGGCCAATTCTATGTCAATAAAGCTGGAAAAAAGGAAAGAAAAAGGATAGCTAGGAGACATAAGCCAGAGAGAGTTACAGAGAGCCGATCCACAGGATAGGTGATGGTCACAGCCAACCACATGGATTTTCAGCTCTGTTGATTAAACCTTGATTTCTGTCTGAACCATTCTCCAACTGACGGACCATAAAAGAACACTGGGGGAGAGTTTCAGAATAGACAAGGTGGCCTCTTGGTGGCAATTGTCCCCTTTCAAAAGGCATCTCCTGGGACTGAGCATTCTGTTTGTTGGCTCTGTCCAACGATGACCCACAGTTGAGGGAGAAAGGAAGATGTGTAACTACTTGAAAAAACTTAGCGTACCACGTGTTGGGGCTGGACATTGCCCCTTTGATTATATTTTTAATAGCCAGTTGGGGACCTTTTCAGTCGTGGCTACCCTTTTGGGTGTACTTATGCAATTTTCGGACCATTTTAAAATTAATTTCACATAAAGTGCAATGGACCTGGGGTGATTTCCTGGGTCTGAGGAAGCCTGCGCTCCCATTTTAAAGTGCTCTTGTTTGTGTCTGTTTTCAGAAAAAGAAGAGCACTTTCTATATATTCCTGCCTATTTAAAATGCAGAACATTTTCTTTTCTTTTCCTTCTGAATGGCCTCTTATCACAGGTCTCGGGGGCACACACTTGAGGGGAAAAAAATGCCAAGTTCTAGCTTCATATCCATGGGCAATTGATGCCGAATTCCACCTCTCCATTGTGTTCTAATGCTGTGGGCTTTTATGGTCTACATATTAATGTTATAAAGTCATGTGCATTCCCCCCACCCCACCCCCACTTCTTTTTATGGCTTTAGTCTTTGTGGTACTGGAAATGGACTTGCCTTTTAAGGCTATAACTGCTCCTTGCTTTCCTGTGGAATTGAGGTTTTTAAATGGAAAATCTGAGTCCAAACTCTTTGACTTTAGCATTGGGAAAACACATGCCGGGAGACTATTGTTTAAATTGTAGGAGTTGGTGAAGAAAGGGGGAAAAATCCTTTTTCCAGGTGAAGGACAGTATAATTAAGGCTCCAACCCAGACATGTACCTCTTATAGAAATCTCAAATGTTTCCTCCCCTAGCTGGGATGGAGGGTGTACATGCTTTAACATCATCTCTTTGTTCTCACAAACTCCCACTGGGGGACATGACTCAGTAGGGTTTGTTCTTCTAGAGTGGGGACCAGCCAACTTTTTCTGTAAAGGGTTAGATAGGAAATGTTTCAGGCTTTGTGGGCTGCTTTTCAACTCTGTTGTTTTAGTGTGAGAGCAGCTCTATTCCATATGTAAACAGATGGTGTGGCTGCGTTCCCATAAACCTTTATTTCACGAATAGGCAGTGGGCTGGATTTGATCCCTGGAACATTGATTGTTGACCCTCATCCCAGATGATAACCGCCAGAAATGATACTCGGGTGATGCAGATGATTGCCCAGGAGGTGATTATGTTCTTCGAATATCCTGGGAAGTTCTAGATCGAATCGTAGTGTTAAGCAAGGATGTTTGGACCCACAGAAAATCATTGTCTTGAGGGATGAGGTGTTGTGTAGAAGATATGGTGGCTGTTAGCGACTGTGGCTCACCCCAGTGCTCCCGGTCATGTATTCTTGGATCTCCATGTTTCTCCAGGCACAACCATTGGTAGTGTACTCCCTTGCTGTACGTGGCTCCTTTTTTTTTGAAAAAACCCAGCCTTATTTGCTCCTCTCCATGCTTCTGGCCTTGCTATTCCCAGTCCATTGCTTATAGAAAAACTGGGTTCTCTCCCAACCTTTTACAGCCCCAGAACCCTCACAAGAAGGCGAGTCACGCTTTCCATTTTGACATGCCTGCCTGCTCTCCCCTCCATCTCTCCTCTGACTCTCACAGGCATTTTCCCAGCCTGAGAATAAAGTGGAAGACGCCTGAGGATTTTTTCGCTTAAAGACTTTAGGTCAGGTTATTTGGTTCATCCAGACTAAGGCTACCCGCCCTGAGCTAACAGGCAGAGCAGAACCAGAGGCAAGATGGGGTTGGCGGGCATCGGAAGTAATCATTGACACGGTCTGAGGTCTGACACGTCCTGTTTTGATAGTGAAAACTTTTAAGTACATTAAAAGATCACCCAATGTCAGAGGATGTGGGAAAGCTAATAAGCATGATGGTAAAGCACTTGGTTAGTGTGCTGTGTAAGTGGTTAGTAGTCAGAGGTAATGCTGCTATTTATTTGTGTGACGGGGAGCTCAGGATGAAGGGCCTAGCATCTAGAGCTTCGGTTAATAGGGTGGGGGCGAGGCTCTGAGCAAACACCCAACCTGTATCTTCCAGATGGGCAAAAGCAAAAAGCCTCTTTTCCATGTTTTGAGTCACGATGCTTACCAGTGACCACCTACCTTCTTTTGGGTTTTATGCCTTTGTTCCTTTCCCGTGTACATTGTTTTCTAAAACTTCCACGGGTGGGCATTCAGTTCCCCACAGAGCTGACTCATCTAGCCCTGTGCTGTCAGGTTGAAAACAAATATAATTAGAAAACCTACCACTAGGCAACACGAAGGTTATAAACTAACATCCCCAAAGTCAGGGAGAAACGAAGTGAGTCATCTACATGTCTGCATGCAGAAACACTCACACTTAGCTGCTCAACTAGGCACTGAAAATAAACCAGCAGACAATGAGGGAGGTGGGGGGATGTACCTGACACTGGCACTAGGTTCTACCCGAAGGAATCATTCTTTTTGGTTTGTTTGTTGGATTCTGTTTCCCACTGTGAGAACCATGGTTCACGAGTTGATGTATCTCCCTTGTATTAGAGGTGTGAGGGTCCAGTGTGACCTGGGAACCTGTTGTAACAAAATTGTGCCTTTGGGGGAGGGTTATGCTGCTGCAGAGAAAATGGCTTCATTTCCTTCAGAATTGTTCCATCGTGTGGCCTTTTGGACCCACGACGCCTGTCCTCACTCTGGCATTTTTGTGAAGTTTGCTTCTTCAGAGCTGCATGAATATGGGCTTTTTTTTTTTTTTTTTTTTTTTTTTGTTTTTTTTTTTTTTTTTTTTTTTTTTTTTGCTTTTCAATGTTTAATCTCCAAGTTGAATTTCTCTGCGCATACCTAGAGTTTGGCAGTCTGCATTATTTTCCAGATGGATCAACTCTTCATCGAGAGAGACATGAGTATAACTCGTGGCTGTCGATGTGGCTTAGAGAGTGGCTTCGTTAACTGTTCTAGTCCAGACCAGCTCTCCGGTGTCAAGGGAAAGCAATGCCTTGCCCATTTACTATGCTACAAAAATTGGTTTCTCATTCTACTCTCCAGTTCTTGAGAAATCAATGTGCATGAATCTATGAAATTTCTCATTATTTTACTGCTGTATCAGTTTAAAATTACTTTGTAGGGAACAGGGTTATTTGTAAACCAGAGTTTGGGCTGTCTTTGCCAATCCTTGTATTTTACCATATATGGGCTTTAAATAGCCTAATTACATATATTTTCCAAAGCAATAAATCCTCTGTAGGAAGGGAAGGTTACAATAAAAGTTATCTTTAAAATGTCCTCATCACTAGGCATATACTTGATTTGGGAAGAGGTTGGAAGGGTCCAGTTTAATCCTAATAGGGGTACTTTAATCTGTTCACCAAACACATCTGTTAAATTGCTAATCTCATGTATTGTCAGTGCTGAATATTAATACCATGTGTCTTTCTCTTCTTTTGCAGCAACATCCGTTTTTCACCCTACACGAATCCAAAGCAACAGATGTGGCATCTTTTGTAAAGTCAATTCTTGGAGACTAACTACCGTGGACTCAATTGGTTGGCCCTCCTGTGGATTGGTGGGTTTACAGGGTGAAGCAAGTTCATGAAAGCGCCAATAGAAACTCATCTTTTTTGAGATAATTTAATCCTTCCTCTCAGAAGGTTTTTTTCCTCCCCATTTTCTTTTCTTTATTTTTTTTCCCCTCCAAAGGGGGCCTTGGAATCCATAGTATAGAATGAACTGTCTAGATGGATGAAATATGGCAAAGGCTTAGGACTTAAAAAGGTGATTAAATATTTAATGATGTGTCATATGAGTCCTTAAGCTTCTCAGACTTCTCTTGTTCTTCACGAAATGAATGCATTGGCCCTGGTCAAAAGGTGCTACAGTAGTGATGAAATTGTAAGTAGATCTGTAGTCTGTCCCACTTATTATTTTAATATTTATGTTTAAGAGCTTGGTTGAAGAGATTCCATTTTATGCAAGGAGGGAAATACAAGACACATGGTTGGGTTGGCAATATTTATAGGGCTTTTATTTTTAAGTTCAATCGTGTCTGTGGTCCAGAGGAAATTATTTAATATGCATCTTTAAGAGTATTATAACAATATCAACGAGGAGCTCTTTTTTTGTAAAATACCTGTTCCAGCTGTTGGAGCTTCTTGCTGTGTCCTTAGATTTCTGCTCAACTCCTGGGTAATAACCACGTATTTCAGGTGAAGTGGTGAGGCATCCCGGTCATAACTTTGCCCCAACTTTGGGAAACATAAAATCACGTGTGTCACATCTCGGAGTCCCGAGTGGGGTTCTCTTGACCTTTGTGGTATTAATGGAATGTGATTCGTGATGTGGTTTTATATCACCTGTCTACCCTTCTACATGTGTGCCTGTGTGTATTCAGTAAGTCCCAAGCTCTGCCAAGTGGCTTCTGTGGACATCTCTGCTTGGTGAGGAAGATATATGTCAATCCTGAGAGGAGATGCCATGTCAAACCTCACTGAGAATTGGTGCCTTCTGCTTCTCTCCCTCATGACAATGTATAAGCCCCAAGGTTTGCCTTTGTGTGAAGATGTGCGTTTGCTTTCTTTTCTCTCCCTTGTTCAATAAAGAAGCCTTACTATTAACGGGAGGGCTGCAATACAAGAAAATAAACGTTCTTTGATAAGATAGGAGGTAATGGGGAGAGTTGAATTAATTCCTAGGAATAGACTGCCCGATAGCCAGTGGTTGAGGCCACATTTCACTTCAGCGGCACACAGTGGCGTGTTCTGTAGGAAGCCAGTGCCATTGTGGGTTCCTGGCGGGTTGACAAAGTAGCGAAAGCTCGTTCTTGTGACTAAATATGCCCCTAGGTTCTCTAGGTTCCTTGATGAAAAATGAGTGAAGTGATGCAGGGAAACTAGGTTGATAATAACCAGGAAACATTGCTTTTGGACACTGGGTTTACATAAGGTATTCTTGAAGGATGAGGATGGAGAATTTTGGTGAACAAGGAAGAAGAGAACTCCCTCTGTTTGTGTCTTTGCCTTGAGTTCACAGATATGGAGATTATTACTCCCCAAACTCTTCCCTTCTTTCCCTTTTAGATTTTGAAATGCCGTCACTAGTTTTTCTGTGTCTGCATTTTCTCCTTGTTCTTGTCTCTGTCTAGCTCAGAGCAGTTGCCCAGAGTGAGTATGGCCCTCCCGTACACTTCTTTGTATCCCCAGTTCCAGGAGATACCTGTTTGATCAAATGTAGTTTCATCTTCTTTAAAGCTACCTCTCTGTTCCTCATCTTTTTCCAGCTGGGAAAGGCATATTATCCTAGTGGCTATGGCCATTCACTTTCCCTTCTACCTTACTAAGTTGGGTGGTTTCCCTCGCTGAGACCAAGAGAAAAAAAAATCACAACTGTATTCCTTCTTCTCTTCGTCCATCTGATGAGAAAAGCAAGTAGTAGAGAAATCGGAGGTCATTCCATCACAGCTTTTGGCAGAATGTATAAGGCAAAAATTCTTTCGGGTCTGAGTCAGATAACTCATACCTGTTCTTCAGTGTGGTTTCTACTTAGAAATATTCTTAACCAAGTGTGTTCTCATGTGTATGCCTCTCCAGTTTGTGAGCCCAGGGCCTAAACTTGCAAAACAATCATACTGAGATAGAGAAGGAGTTAGTCAATAGCTCTCAACCTGGTGCGTACCGGAATCCCTGAGAGTTGGTGAACACTGCCAGTGCCAAGTTTGGGGTTTCATTGGTCCAGGGTGGGGTGCTGGGAACTGGCATATTTTACACACTGTTTGTGATTCCGATGCCAGCATGGTTGGGAACACCGGTCTAGTACCTCCAAAAGAGAGAATTGACTTAAAATTTCTCTTGAACGTTGGCAGAGAGAAACAAGAGCCTCCACTTCATTTCTGGTCCTCATCAATGGGGCCATCTTTGCCACTATCAGAGAAGGCATGTTCCAGGAATACTGTTTTGGAACTTGGGATACGTTGTCCCCATAGAAATGTTGTACAACATGATGATCAGATATCTTAAGTGCTCAAGTAGAATGGCTTGATAGACTTATGAGTCTAAACTCTAGAATGTGTGTGTGTGTGTGTATGTGTGTGTTTGAAAACCGGGTTATAAATTCTAGACTAATTTTAAAATAAAGATGGTGATGCATAAACCATTTTAAGTTGATAAAAGTTGGAAGTCTCCTGTACGTATACACAGGTCATTCGATCCTCTATGTTATTTCACTCATTGCATATCATCATTATTATTGTTTTGGCTTACCTTTGGTTGATTAGCTTTTTTTCTTTTAATGTTTTATTTATTTCTGTGAGAGAGACAGCATGAGCAGGGGACGGTCAGAGAGAGAGGGAGATACAGAATCTGAAACAGCTTCCAGGCTCTGAGCTAGCTGTCAGCCCAGAGCCTGACACGGGGCTTGAACCCACGAACCGTGAGATCATGACCTGAGCCGAAGTCGGATGCCCAATCCTACCCTCCTGTGTTCTTTGTTAGTCCTGTAATGTCAGATGTCCTCGTCTAGGACACGAAATACTCAGCCTCAGCATCTGAGGAAGCCAGCCTTGAGTCTAACGTGGCCCCAGGCTTCTCCAAGTGCACTTGATTTAGTGTCTTTGGGAGGTAGTCACAAAAGCGACAAAGAAGGGCTAATGTTTTCATAGTTTTTAACACTAAAAATTCTTCTCTTGACCAAGAGGCTTCATTGGCTCTGCTCAGAGAAACTACTCTGTTTCTTCCAAAGTTGTCTAACAACATGCTTTATCTCTGGCTTAAAAAAAAGTGCAATGGATGCCCAGTTCTTGATTTCCCACCCAAATGCTTTTTTGGTGACATGACTGCCTGTGGCCTTGAAGGGAAAATTCGTATATTCGTAAAATTCCTCGAAGTTGGTGGTCAGATTAAGTAAAATGGATTAAACCTCCCTCATGCTGGGGGTTTTGTCTTCTTAATGTTTATCTGTGAGTTAGAGGGAGATTTGCTGGCCTAAAAGCAACCTTCTATTTTTATTGAATTAGCAAATGGAAGGTGCAGTTCTTAATTGGACCCCTGAACATTTACATATTCGGTTAGAAAAATGCCAGAGTAAAATCTAGGAAGAGGAAGCTATCAAACAAACCTTATTAGAATAGGAAAAAGTGGTATTTTATCATGGAAGGTCAGCGTTCCTCTTGTCTAGGATGTGTGTGTGTGTGTGTGTGTGTGCGTGCTCGCACGTGTGCGTGTGTGTTTTAGCACTGTTAAATATGCTGGCAGCTAAAGATGCTCTTTGGTTTTCTTTGGCTTTAATTGGGGTACTCTGGATTTCTTTAGGAATCTGTTGAAAGCTAGGATCTTTTCCCTAGGAAAACGCACATGGTACATGGAACACATAGTTTTGCAAACATTTTTTGTCGAGGGGAGGGGAGTGGAGTACAGTTTATAGACCCCATAGGATCCATAACCTCTGCTCTGCAGAATGTGGACTGTGACATTCTAGACCAAGACTGGCAAACTTTTTCTGTTAAGGGCCAGATAGTAAATATTTTTGGCTTTGTGTTCCATTCGTCTGTCCCTGCGACTCCGCTCTGGGGTTGTAGTATGGAAGCACCCATAAATAATACATAATGAATGAGTGTGGTTCTGTGTCACAATTAGATTTTATTTACAGAACCAGGCAATGGGCTGGATGTGGCCCACAGGCTGCAGTTTGCCAACACCTGTCCAATCTTAGAGCATCAAATACAAAACTCTGATTAACTGTGTGTATAGAGCTTTTCCATTTGGTTAGTATTCAGCGCAAGTGCTGTTGAGGCAGATTAGGAAGATGGACATAGAAATGAGTTTGGGAAGAGCGGAGGCTGTTCAGTCCCATGGGAATTGCCTCTTAAGTTTCTTAGGTAAGTATTCCTTGCACTGGAGGCCAATGGGACAGTTTTCCTAAGGTGAAATTGAGTACCTACTTTTTCCATTTCTATACAATCGCTGGCATAATGTCCTTCGACTTAGAAATTGGAGGCATTCTTCTCTCAGCCATCGATGGCCTTCTTGTCTCTTAGCTTTGCATTGTGTTTCTCTCTGGGATGTGATACTTGTTCGTACAGGGAGGATCATGAAAGCCAGATACTAATCCTTGGGTTTTCCTTTTCTCTGAACTGCATTAAGATTTGAAAATTTGGGAGGCCACCGTTACCTCAGAAGTAGAAGGCAGATAGAATTCTTAGAATCTTCCAGATCCTCCCCCTGGTCTATTTGGCCATTGTTTGAGAAAGGAAGAAATATAAGTTTGGGGTCAAAATAGTGTTCTCAGGTAGACTCAGAGCTCTAGGCTCTCACTGTGACTGGAGACGTGGGCTCTCCTCTTGGGTACTGTCCTGAGACTTGGGAAGACAAGGCTGCATTATCTTCCCCCTTTCTTTAATCCTCACTAAATTTTTATTCTAAGGGGCTTATGCAAAATGCCTCCTTTCTGATGTGACAGCCAGGGCTTGTTGAGTTTCTGGGCCCCCCAGTCTCTGGTGAAAGCTTTGCCTTCCCTCTGGACCAGCACAACTGTACTTTGCTTTGTCTTTCATCAACATTGGTCCCCTCTTTGCTGTAGGAATGCTGTGCAAAGGACTGTCCGTCCCCTAAGGTGCCCAGCTCTGCTTTCTTCTTCCAGAACAGTCCAATTCCGCTGACCTGAAGCTGTAGGTTTCTTGGTTATTCAGAAACAGTTTTCTTCTTGCTGCATCCTCAGGCAAGCATAAATTATACTTAGAAGGCTACTTGGAACCTCTTGAAGAGCATATTTAAGTATTTGATCTGGCAATTTACCTGAAAGAATGTTTTCTCTTTGCCTTGGGAAACAAAACCTGAATTCCAGAGCCTTCAAAATGAAACTATCCTTCATTGAAACTATGCTTCAAAATGAAAGCACCTTGCCACCAAATCCATCACTCACCACCTGTCTGGGTATCTGCAAAGATGTGTCATTTTGCCAGGGTTTAGAGGGTCACTGTTTACAGCTATGCAGATAGAATATTCCCACTGCAAGTTTTCTAATGGAGTCATTTGGAATCGGCACTTAAGTTGGGGTTTATCTTTTTAGCTCCTGACCCAAACTCCCTTTTCAAGCGAAATTTCTCCAGAAGCCCTTTTCCTTCCTGAAGTGAAGGGGACTGGGCCCTAACTAGAAACACAAAGGAGAGCCAAGGACTTTATGGTAGGGATTTTTTTTTTTAAAGAAAAAAATACACCTCTAACAAAAACATGTGTTAATAGAATTAAAAAATATCCAACCCTGTTCCCAGGGACTGTCAGCATCTTGACATCATTTGTATTATCATTAGAAATAGGATGCCGAGTCCTCTCTTCTTGCGAGTTTACAGTGAGATTTTTGGAGATGTGCATTGCATTTCTGTCTCAAGAGTTGTCAGCATGGAAAGATTCCTCTGGGCTGGGGGAGCTTATTCCTTTTGACGCATACAGGGTTTCCCCAGGGTCCACTTCTGCGTTTCTGGGACTCGGGGTCTCTTTCTAGGAATGAGGTTAATGCTCTTAGTACTTGGAGACTGATTTGAGGGAAAGCACGGGAAAGTTGAGGCACATACTTGTGTCCTAATGTAGGAAACAGAACTTCCTAAATAGTAACCAGAGTTTGTGGCTTTGACAGGGCCACCTGGTCTTTCCTGGTTTCCTGGATTGCATTT